AAGCTCTCCAGCTCAGTGACCTTACCCCCGTCCCTTCTCTGACCTTCACTTGGCACGCTAGGCACTTCCTGGGGGAGCAGGTTTGGCAGGGCCGAGCAGCTCTGCTGGGTGGCTGGAGATATTTTGTTTTGTTTTTTTCCCCCCTGCCTCCAGTCTTTGTGGCTTCTTGGGGCTTCTGTCTCCAAGGAGTCCTTTGGCTGGAGGACAGACCTCCCCCCCCACCCCAGGAAACGATGGCCGCATCTATTCCCCAAGGCCCAGGTGGAATAAGGATTTTCTGGGACCTCCGGTGTTCCAGTATGCACAGTCCTGACAAAGCAAAACACCCAAACGCCCCTCTTTCCTTACTGGTATGGTCCTATGCCCCTCGCCCTGCTCATCCTTCCCAGGACAAAGTCTCTCAAAGGGCTTCTCAGTCTTATTTTAGGCCAGTCACACCCAAACCCTTGGAAGGGTCACATGCTGGGGAAGATGGGAAAACAGGGGGACAAGGAAAAGGAAGCAAGATTGGAGTTTTCCTGTCCTTGTGAACACTTCAGAAGTCTTCTGTATATGAAAACCAGCTAACGCTGGGGATTTTGTTTGGCAGTCTTCTGCACCTCACTGTTTGTAGTTACAAAATATTGCCTTGGTCACACATCTCTGAATGTGGTATGCCAATAGCTGGGCCTATAGATTGTGCCAAACTTGTCCTCTGACCTCTAAGGCCCCGAGGACAAACTAGTCGCACACAGGAGGGGTCATTAGGGCCATCAAGGACAGCTGCAGGCACAAGGGAGGCAGCAAGCAGCTTTGGGAAGCTTCCTCCCCTTTCACAGGCAAGAGGTGAGCTCGGATTTTCCTAGAGCCAGAACTGAATGAGAGAACTGGCGTTTGGGATGCCAGCATGGCAGGATCTGACCCTCAAAGTCCACGTAAATGAGGAAGGACCTCGGGGTTCCGTGGAACTCGCAGGCAGAGCTTCCCAAGGCCGCTCACACACTCTGAAAAGGGTGGAGGGTGACTGAGAACAGGGTGTAGCAAGGGCCTTCCGAGCACCCTCCCTCCCCTTCCCCAGGAACCTGGGGCCACCTCAGTCCACATGGGAAGAAGGCGGGAAGAAGACTCCAAACTTATGTTTGACTTGGGGGCCAGCTCCTCGTAGCTGTAACTTGCCAGTCAGTAGATGTGGATCCTGGCAGCACCTACCTCACCGGGCAAGGCTTCTGAGGGCTCACAGGGGTCCAGGCAAAGCCCACAGCAGGTTCTTCCGCACAGTGCCACGTCTGCGGGAGCTACAGTGTCACCCGCCTCCTCAGTAAAGAGACTGCGGTGTATGTGTGTTTCTCTGTGTGCCCGTGTGGACATTCGCATGTACATAACGTGTGTTTATGTGTATATACACCTGCCTATACATTAATGTGCACGTGTGTATATAAATGTGTGTGCGTGTGCACGTATACACATGTGTATGCCCGTTATTCTATTTGAGTATGGCATCTGCACTCCGCCTCTATTAGTTGCTTTTCTGTGGCTGTGATAAAATACCACGATCAAAGGCAGCTTAAGGAAGAGTTTGTTGCTGGGTGTGATGGCGCACACCTGTGATCCCAGTGCTTGGGGAGGCAGAGGCAGAAAGACCTCTGTGAGTTCAAGGCCAGCCTGGTTTAAAAAGTGAGACCAGGACAGCCAAGGCTACACAGAGAAACCCTGTCTCAAAAAAAAAAAAAAAGAAAAAAGAAAGAAAGAAAGAAAAGAAAAGAAAAATCTTCTGTTTTCAGAGGAGTAGATGGCCACGTTGTCTAGGTAGGCATGATGTTAAAAGCAGGAAGTGGGGAGATCACATTTTAGCGGCACATAGAAAGCATTGAAAGTGAGCTGGGGAGGGGGCAGACTATAATTTCTCAAGCATGCCCCAGGAATATAACATATTTCTTCCAGCAAGGCTCAACTTCTTAAAGATTCCTTAAGTTCCCCAAATAGCATCACCAACCAGAATCCAAGTGTTCAAATACATGAGGATACAAGGGACATTTCTCATCTAAACTATCCCACCACTTTGTCCTCTGCCCCTTCCCTCCTCCTGAGGACATTGTACTTTTTTCAGGACACCTTTCAATACACCTTTTCTAACCTCTCTAGGCCTTAGTTATCCGATATTTAAGATAAGGATGATAAAGAGTTATGATACTAAGCATATTAAGCAAATAAAACACATACACACACAAAAAAAAATAAAAAGACAAACTCAGAAGTAGCTGGAGTGTGCTCATTTGACTTGTACAAAATGAAACATAAGCAGAGGCAGATGCATGCCAATGCATGGTGGAGGCTTTAAAAGCTCAGCACAGTTTGACACCTGCTGGGTCTTTTCTCTGAGGGATATGCTCTGTGAAGAACTGCCCTCAGCCTGGATCCCTGAATATATCATAGAAATGTACTCTTAGTCAGGGGGTGTCTGCCATGTAGCATAACCTAGCATAAGTTGACCAGTGCAAAAACTTAGAAATAATAGGTCACCAAGACAAATGGGTGTTATGGGCTCTAGGGGACAGACAATAGATAACAAGGAGACAGTTACTGAAGGCAGGAAAGTTGGTTTGGTAGCCTTTGTTACACAGCAGGAAATATTCAGTAAAACTCCAGGCTAAAAGAATTTAAAGCTGGGCTGAAGATATGGCTCACTGATTAAGAGTATTAGCTACTCTTCCAGAATTGAACCTGGGTTCAATTCCCAACACCATCTGGCAGCTCACACTTGTCTGTAACTCCAGTTCCAGGGCTTCTGATACATTCACACAGACATACATGCAGGCAAAACACCAATGAACATTAAAAAATAATAAACACACACACATATAAATTTCAGGTGGTGTTGGCACAATGCTTTAATCCCAGCGTTTGAGAGCCAGAGGCATATGGATCTCTGCAAGTTTGAGACCAGCCTGGTCTATAGATCGAATCCCAGTACAGCCAGGGCAGCACAAAGAAACCTCTCTTGAAAAACAAAAAGAAAAACAATTGATGCTCAACAAAACAAAAAACTGGGCATGGTAGTACATGCTTGTTACCCCAGCAATGGAGAGGTGGAGGCAAGAAGATCAGAAGTTCAAGGCTTTCACTACACAATTCAAGGTTAGCCTGGGCTAAATGACATTCTTTCTCTCAAACAAAACCAAACAGGGCTGGGGTTGCAGCTCAGTTGATAAAGTACTTGTCTAGCACACATGAAGCCCTGTGTTCAGTTCACAATGCCACATAAACTAGGGTGGTGGAAGACGCTATGGTCTCAGCACTTGAGAGACAGAGGCAGGAGAGTCAGGTAAGCCAGTCTGAGACAACAAATTTGCAGCTGTCAGGCTAGGAGAGACAGTGTCTGAAGGAAGGTAGGGAGAAGGGAGGGAAAGAGAAAAGAAGGATGGAGGGGCTGCAAAACTGACAGTCTTCTGTGGCTTTAGCTGAGGAGACTGAGAAGTGGCTGACACACTCGGTCACTTTTTACTGCATGCTGTGTTATTTGGGATTAGATCCGCAGAAGGCATAGGCTAATGTTCTTAGCCCCATCACATCACTGAGTGGCTGAATTTGGAGACAATGTGGTCTTTTTAAATGAGATCACACGTCAGGCTCTTGTAGGAGTGCAGTCTTTAGAAGAGGAAACTAGGACATAGGGAAAGCTATAGACAACTGTCCACAAGCCAAGGGGCAGGGTCCAGGCAGACCCTTCTAAGGAGGACACTGATCACTGACCCTTGATCTTAACTTCCCACAACTGGGAACTAAGTGTCGCTGTGGAGCTGTGCTGTTAGGGGCTGGTTTATTATTTAGCAGCCATCCAAGGTTCCGGCTGCATCCTGAGGGCTCTCGGGAGAAGGCAAGGGAGGATGGGCTTCTGAGGAGAAAGCCTGCTTGCAAGCCAACAGAAGAGGCAGCTATTATAGATTTTTCAGGGTTGAAGGTGCAGCTGGTGTTCATAACTGTCCAATGAATGAGGACCAGGGATGAAGCCTGGGTTCCCTCCTCAGCGCTGAGCAGACAGGACGTGACAGTAGTGGCCCCTGGCCTGTAATCCCAGCAATGGGGAGGTAGAGGTAGAAGGTATCAAGAGTTCAAGTTCATTCTCATCTATACAGGGTGTTCAAGGTCAGTCTGCACTAAGTGAAAATCCCAACAGCCGATGTCCAGAGGCCCAAGCCCATGGTGCATTCAGAGAGCGAGACAACTCCAAGAGGACGCCACCTTGGTGCCAACCAACCTCCAGCTGGGAGCATCTGGAGCAAGTCCCACCCTGCCGGTCTGACAGCCCAGGCCAGGCCTGGAATTTGGCTGTCTTCTGGTGAGTATACAGACAGATAGGCAGACAGACAGGCATAGTCCTGGCCCCTCTTCCAGTGAACTGTGTCTACAAAATTCAAGTGACAAGTGACATTTTAGTAAGACTCCCGACACATCTGTGCTTGGAACACATGACATGATCTTGGAGCAGATAAGAGTTTTAATTTTAACTTCATCTGTGTCCCCTGAAAAGCATTGTTGGAGAAGCCTAACCATGAATTTTAAACTATCCATAGAAAGTCTTCAAAGTCATCTATGGATAGTCAATAAAGAGATGGAGAGATGGCTCAGAGGTTAAGAACACTCGCTGTTCTTCCAAAAGTCCTGAGTTCAATTCCCAGCAACCACATGGTGACTAATAACCATCTATAGTAAGATCTGGTGTGCAGGCAGAATGTTGTATAAATAATAAATAAATCTTCAAAAGAAAAAGAATATCCTAAACTGAAGAAAAACAACAGGACAAAGACATGCTCAGGCAGTTTCCTCAGTCGGTTAGGTCAGCACTTTCTCTTGTGTAGAGACCATGCAGGGTGTGGTCAACATACCCAGAGTCAAGGGTCACCTGTCTGTCATCCCAGGCTGCCCCAAGAGGATTCCGCATGACGGTACTCTGGGCTAAAGAATGAGACTCAGACAATGAAACCACTAGGATTGGAATGGAATTGAGCACAGTACCTTCCTGACCTGAGTTCCTGGGTTCCTCTCCAGCACTGCAAACAAACAAACAAACAAACATAATCAGTACACGAATAAGTCATGAAATTATCTTATCAATAAAGCAGGAAGGCAAACCCTGCCCGGCTCAGGGCCTCCCAGGTTAAATCTGGAGGAGCAGCTCCCCAAACACCAGGCAGTGAGAAAAAGCTAATAGGTCACCCAGTGCTTAGGAGGCAGAGGCAGGTGGATCTCTGTGAGTTCAAAGCCAGCCTGGTCTACACAGAGTTCCAGGACAGAAGGAAACTGTCTCAAAAAAAAGTGGCTGGCTCCAAGGCCACAGGGCTGCCCATGACACAGCTCCTGTCACGTCCTCTGTTCAGGACCAGCTCCAGGCCAGCTCAGATCAAAGAGGAGGAGCCCTGCGTCTGGGTAAGGGGAGGACAAAGAATTTGTGGCTATCTTTAACCCACCATGAGAGAGGGGTTGCTATTGGCAACCAAGATGGCAGATGGCAAGTAGGTTGATCCTTGTTCCTATTTGCTGTAATGAGCCTTATACAGGCCCATCCTATTTCCATGTGGCAGGCTGGCTGCCCCCCCCCCCCCCCCGAAACCCAGACATCAGCCATAGCCTTGTGATGTGCTTTAGCCAATGAACCTACCCTGGAGGCAGCAGGCTGAAGAACAGCTTCAAGAGTCTGTGTCCACTCTGCTCAGAGGCTCTGCTCCTGGGTTTGTACAGAGGGAGGGACAGCATACAAGCGTCTGGTTGGCTGTTTTACACCCTTGCTCCATCCTCCACCATCCAGAGGCCTTCCACCCATCTTCCGCCCATCCCATTGTTGTGCAAGGAACACCTGGCAAGCTAGGTGCTGTGCAGTCTTCCTTAAGGTCAGGGAGCCTCGGGGGTCAGCACCAGCGACCTGTTGGGCACAGGTGTCAAGCCTGTCTAGGGTGAGTGGGGGAGGGGCTTTCTGTAGATGTGCAGGTCATCTGCAAAACTGCTGAAACCTGGGCGCACCATGGCTCATCAAGGCCAAGTGACTTGCCGAAGACCCACTCAGCTAGTACATAGAAGAGTCAGGACTTGAACCCAAGGATGCCTTAGCCCAAACCCTATCCACTGGGCTCCCATGCCACTCACACCACAAGTGGGTAGCAGATATTCATAAGCAGATGCGTGTGGGCCTTAGGAAAGCCACCAAGCTCTGGGTGTAGTCACAGAGGCCCCAGGCTCTGGGATGCACTAATATGGAAACTGAGAGCACAAGTGGGTATAGCATTTAGAACTCACTCCATCCTATCCCTGTCTCCCCAGCCCTTTAAGGAGAACTAAGTTTGTCAAGGTGTTGACCATGCGATAGACAGGACTAGAGACATGGCACTGTAGGTAAAAGACTCACCATGTAGGGATAAGGAGTTGAATTCAGATCCCCCAGCATCCAGGTGAAAAGATAGGTGTGGCGTGGCAGCACACTGCAGTCCTGCACTGGGGAGACAGAGGCTGAAGAGGAGGATCTTTGGGGCCAACTGGCTAGCCAGTCCAGCCAATTACTAAGATCTAGGTTCAGTGAGAGACTGTGTCTCAAAAATAGGAGAGATGGCTCAGTGGTTAAGAGCATGTGCTGTTCTTACAGAGAGCCTGGGCTTGGTTCCCAGCACCCACATAGCTGTACAACCATCCATAACTCCAGTTCCAGCGGATCTGGCACCTTCTTTTGACCTTCAGACTCAAAATAGTGCACCCATGTACTCAGACAGACATAAAGGCAAAACACTCATTCATATACATATAATTTTTTAAAGCAAAAATATTTAATAAAACGTGGCAAGCAACCAAGGAAGATACCAAATATCAACCTCTGATCTCATATGCTCAACACACATGAGCACACATATGTACTCACACTGGTACACCCTGAGAACAAAATGCTGCACACACATACCCAACCACACACACAGACACAGACACACACACACACACACACACAGGAGATGGCAACACCTGACCGTTTCCTTTAGAGCCTTCCACAGTGTGTCCTTTCATCCAGGACAGGGAGGGGGGCAGAAGAGCCACTGCTCTTCCCATTTTGCTAGTGGGGAAACTGAGGCACCAAGTAAAAGGAGTCTATGTCTCTCCGCATGGTTTCTGGCTTGCGGCTCAGCAGCTGTCCTTCCGTCCAGGAGGTCCTGGACTCCACCTCTGCACAGTAAACAGTAAATTAAAAGAAAAAATCTTTGTTAAAATTATAAAATAATAATATTTTCTAATCTCCAGGAGTGAGATGTGGGGGGAAGGGCATGCAGCTTGAGATATGGTCTCATGTACTCTGCTCAGTACCAGAGTGTGCCATACCCCAGCTTCAGGACTGTGTGACATGGCAGGCAGAGACACATGTCTGGGACAGCCTCTCAGTGTGGCATTTCCATCTCAGTATTGTCACATCAACAAGAAGCTCGAGGGCCAGCACTGGTCCCTGGCCTGGGATGTGGGACACACAGCCTTTACTGTGGCCTATACACTATGTCACCAGGAGGCAGAGTGCTGGAGCGGTGGTTTGACCTCACAGATGTCCACAACACGGCACAAACCGAATGCTGTGACTCATACCTGTAACGCCAGCACACTGGAGTGGAGGCAGGGGGATCAGGTTCATGTTCAAGGTCATCCTCAGCTACATAGAGAATCCGAGGCCTGAGACCCTAAGCCACCGGCCCTGAAACCCTGGAAGAACACAGGTCATGCTGTGGGGGCGGCTCCCTACCTAGGAGGAATACCCAGTGCCAGCTGTTTGCCTGCCTCCCCACGGAAAAGAGCCCTGGGGAAGAGAAGACTGTCAGCGGCGCCCTCGACTCCCTCCCTGGAGTGAGAAGGGGAAGATGGCTTTCCTTTCCCAACCTGTCCACTGCCCCTCTCCATCATGAAACCTGGGATAGCTCCGGATCTGAAAGAGTCACGGGTGGCTTTTGCATACAGCACGCAAGCCCCCTGACAGGGTGTGGCCGGTCCAGCAGATTTGGGCTACAGCACAGCAGACTCCACATCCTGGGGTCCCCCAGAGGACAGAGGCGGCTTGCTTCCACGTGCACACAGCACAGCTTGGCCTGCCTTCTCCCCTGTCAATCCCCTGGCTCTCGGGGCCAGAGCTCAGGAGCTGTGGACTCCAAACAGCTCACTCCTTCCCATTCTCTGCTCCTGCATCCTCTCTGGAGCTGCTGCAGCTCTCTGTTCAAGGTCAAAGAACAAACAGATAAACCCTGTCCTTGGAGCTGGCGGAGAGGCAGTCTCTAGCTCCAATCCAATTCTGAGTCAGGGCCAGGGAGTAAGTTCCTGAGAAGGTGAGGACCGAAAGGAGATTTTTGTGGCCATAAAATGAGGGAAAATGTTTTGTAGGCAGAAAAAGAGGCTAAGCAGTTGGCTTTGGTTTAAGGCACAAATACTGGATAGAAGTAGACAGACCTGGGCAGGGAAGGTCTGGGGTGGGAAACTAGAATATTCTTATAGCTCTAGTGATATCAACTCCCCTGGGGCCCTGATGTTAGGGTATAGAGCTTGGGATTGTGACCAGGCTCATGGGGACAGGATAATATGAGGGTCTGAGTCAAGGGGAAGAGTGAGCAGGGAGTTGAAGACTCCGGAATTTTCTGGGCTTTTGTCCAAGATAGTCCTGCAGTTCAGCTTGAACTATGACTCTGGGGGTTTGCTATGGAAAGCCATGAACCTGACGAATCCTTCCTTACAGGAGCTCAGAGAGGTCAACCGTTGGCCCATTTGGGAGGGGTCACACAGGCCAGGATGGGATGTGCAAGACCCCACCCAGAGGACAATGGGGAGTGTACCTGTCCAAGCTAGATTTCAGGACTCATCCAGGTACGTGGTTTGTGGGGCTTCAGGCCCCGGGGCTGAGCAAGGGCAGAGGAAGGTCTGCTCCACAGCTCATGTCTAGAGATGAGCAGTGAGCAGATCAAAGCATGATGGAGGCAGAGCCACGGGGGCAGATGACACTGGGCCTGTGCAGCTGCTTGAGAAAGGAGAGGAAAAGGATGACCAAGACTGCTGAGGAGACAAAGGGAAGGAGTTCGGGTGATCTGTCTCTGTGTCTCTGTCTCTCTGTGTGTCTCTTTTTTGAGCCTTAGGTGCTATTGGTTGGGACACCTTAAAGAAAGTACAGCTCTCCCCCCCAAAGCCCAGATCCATGCACACAAATCAAAGTCTGCACTGGGTCCTATGGGCCTGTGGCATTCTCTCTCTCTCTCTCTCTCTCTCTCCTTCCCTCTCCCTCTCCACCTCTCCATCTGTGTGTGTGTGTGTGTGTGTGTGTGTGTGTGTGTGTACAGGGGTGGGGCTGGGCAGTCTATAAGAGCAGAATGGTGCCTGTTTGGAGCATGAGTGTCAGGCAGCTGAAGGATTGATTGGCCCTTGGTCTTCTGTAGTGTTCCAGGACATTGATGCCAGCCTCTAAGAGCACCAACCCTCTCAGATTGACCTGTGTGCCTCGTTGCTTCACTAACCCCCACACTGGGATGGAATGGCTTCCCTGCTCTGGCCGGGTGTGTGGGTAGTGGGTGGGATCTGGGTGGTGGAAGAATGGCTAGGCTCTGTGGGTCAGAGGACAACGATTGGGGATACAATGGGATGCACAGTCAGATGGAGGGATGCGTGGAGGGGGGCAGAAGACAGCTGTGTGGGCCAGCCGATAAAAGGTAGAAGGCAGCCTAGCTGGGTGAATGAGCAGCTGGCTGAGCAGGGAAGAGTGTGGGGATGAGCAGAGTTTTGGAAAGGAAAGGACAGGGTGACCCCAGGCCCTGGGTTGACAGTAGGCCCAGAGGTGGGCTGTCCTGTGTAGACCCTTTCTCTGGTTCCTCAGTTCTCAGTTTCCTAAAGCTGCCCCTCCCCCCCTTCTGGGGAGCCCAGATCTGAGGACTTCCTTCTCTTTGTGTGGAGTTTAACTCTTCACCCTGGCCTTGGGATTTGGCTGGGAGGCCTGACTATCCACCAGGACTTGGTGACTGGGGCGGAGAAAGAAATTTAGGTGTCCTCGACATACGTACCTTCTCCACCCCCTTCCTTCCTAGCCTTCTGCTGCCTCCCCACCCCTCCCTGCTTCCTTCTTCCCCATCCTTCCTTCTTTTTCTCCTCCTCTTCCTCATCCTGCTCTTCTCAAAGAAAACCGAGCACCCAGATGGGCGGGGCCATCCTCAGGTAAAGGCTCAGCCAAGACCTGCCCTAGCTCCTCCGCCCTTGGCCCTGGCAGGCCCAGGCATTTGTGTCCCCGCTGCCTGGTGCCCGCCCCTCCCCGCAGCTCCGATTTTTCAGCTTGGGTTTGATCGGCTGCCAGGATCTCCCAAATGTCAGCGGCAGCGTTCGCGTCTTTAAGAGAGCGCCCGAGGCGATCTTTAAGCGGGGAGGCTGGGGCCGGCGCTGACGGGGGAACTCGCTGACAGCCAAGCTCGGTCGTGCCTCCCCAGCCAGCTTGCAGAGCTGCAGCCCGGTTCTGGACTGATTTTGAAGCCTGGGGTGAAACCAGCCAGGCTAGGCCAGGAGTTGATAGCAGGACCCCTGGTGGAAACCAGGAAGGCCAGGCATTAATAGATCAACTCCAGAAGCTCCGAGAGCTGCCCAAGAGGCAGAGAAGATCCGTTTCCCCTTCCTCACCTTGAAGGGACATATTTAGGGTGAGGAGACATGGGAACAGCTCCAAACTTTGGCCTAGCTGGTGTTCAGATCAGTGCTGAGAGCTGTGTGACCTTGGGAAAGTTGCTGGCCCTCTCTGAGCCTCAGCTCTCTCATCAGAGAAGGGGCTTAAGGGGCCAGAACACCAGTATAGAATTTCCCAGAGGCTCCAGTGTCACACAGAGAGAAACAACCTCATGGGACATGTGGTGGGTACGCCCCCCAAAACCCCCTTCTGCTGCCTGCTCGCCCTTCCCTGCAGCTTTCTAACTGCTCTTTTAAAGGAGGCTGCCATCTCTCCTGAAGCCCCCATGATTCCCTTTTCACCCTCAGGACATGATGATGGCCCAACTTTTCAGGCATCCAGTGTCTTCCTCCCAGTCAGTGGCAGGAGCCCTAGAGAGATGGAGAAAAGGAGAACAGAGGCTAGTCCCCCCCGGGGAAGGCGCACTGGGAAAGGGCGCAGCATGGACTTCCTGTCCCCTAGATGTAGCCTCTCCTGGGACCAGGCAGAATGGGGTGTGACACTGGGAGATGAGTACTGTACTTCCAAGGAGGTCACCATCGACATCTCTGAACCAGGAGCCGCAGGACCAAGGCCCAGAAGGGTTGTACAATAAAATCAGAATGAGTGGATGAAGGGTGGGCAGAAACATAGGTACTGGGGGGCAGGATGGATGGACGGGAGGGTGAGCTGACAGACAGATGAATGGGTAGCGAGTGGGTGGGCCTGTGGCTAGATGGATGGGGAATGGATAGATGGATGAGTGAGCTGATGGATGGGCAGGTGGATGGGTGGGGTGTGGATGGGTAGACTTAGATGGGCAGGTGTGGATGAGAGCGTGGGTGGGAGGGCATGGAGGAAAGTGAATAGGACATGGATGGGTGGGCAGGTAGGCAGGCAGGTGGGTAGATGGGTGGATGGGTGTGGGGGTAAACAGTGAAGTAAGGTCATGAGTGAGTGGCTAAATGGATGACTGGCTGGCTGGCACGTGGTACGGTGAACGGCTGGATGGGAAATGAGTAGATGAGGGCGCAGCTGGGTGGAAAGGATGGAAGGGTGAGTGGGTAAACAGAGGTAATACCCTGAAGAGCACTTTGTGGCAATCTGGCGCCATGCTCTATGGGACTTGGGGGAGGTCACCTGGGCTTCAGCCTCCTCAGGTGTCTAAAAGGGGCACTAGCACGTGAACACCCCCCCCTCAGGGATCCCTGACGAGGCTGAAGAGATGGCTCCGTCCGTCGGTGGGTAGGTAAAGGGCCTGCTGTTGCAAGCACAAAGACCGGAGTCTGACCGCTAGCACCGCATTTGAAAAGGCTGGGCGTGGCCACACTTAGTGTGTGACTGTGGCCCGGAGGGAGGCAGGGGGGTTCCCTGGGCTTCCTGGTCAGCCAGTCTAGCCAATCGGTGAGCACTGGGTTCACTGAGAGACCCTGTCTCAAAAAAACAAAGGGGGAAAGCAAGAGCAGATGACCCCTAACCCTGACGTCTGGCCTCCCTCCACACTCACGTACACCCACACACAGACCTTTGACTCTGGGTGTCCTCAGTCCTCCGAACGGTGACCTCCCAACCCCCGCCCCCTCCCAGCAACACCCCCACTGCATCCTGTCCTGTGATCAGCTTCCTCTTTCCTGTGTCCACAGGGGCCTTCTGTGTGGTTCCAGGAAACATTTCCTGGGAATTGTGCTCACAGCAAAATCCAAGCATGAAACACCCACGCTGGAGACTAGTCCCGCCCGGCTCCTTCAGGCTGGAGGTGGGGAGCCAGCTCTAAAGTCAGAAGGGGGTTATGGGATGGAGAATGGCTGTCTCCCACTGGGTTAGAGTGCCTGCCCAGCACACTGAGTGAGATCCCCGGAAATGCAGACTGGCTGTAGTAGGCACGGGCGGAGAGCCCCAGCGTTTGGGAGGTGGAAGCAGAGGATGAAGAAGTCCAAGGGCTTCTTGGCAAGGACATCCTTGAGTTGGGTGTCAAGCTAGAGAGGAACCTGGGAGGCCTGTCTCAAGGGGAGGGAAGGGGGAGGCAGGGAGATGATTTTGAGGGCAAAGTGCTTGCCATACACGCGTAAGGACCCTGAACCCCCAGAATTCACACAGGAATATGCTCGTTTGTAATCCTAACTGGGAAGCGGAGGGAAACCCAGGAAGCCCAAGGGCCACCCAGCCTGTGGAGACCTTGTCTCAAAATAGGAGGAAGGTGAGCTGGTTGGTGTTCTGTCATCTTGACACAGGCTAGAGCCATCTGAGAGGAGGGAACCCCAACTGAGACAATGCCCACATAAGATCAGCTAAAGGCAGGCCTGTGGAGGATTTCTTTAATTGGTGATTGATGTGGGAGGGGCTGTGGGTGGGGCCGACCCTGGGCTGGAGGTCCCAGACGGAAAGAGAACAGGCCAGCAAGTAGCAGTTCATGCCTTCATGGCCTAGGCATCAGCTCCCCCCTCCAGGCTCCCACCGTGCTTGAGTTCCTGTCCTGACTTCCTTCCATGATGGACTATGATGTGGAAGTCTAACACAAATAAACCGTTTTCTCCCCAAAACCTGCTTTTTGGTCATGGTGTTTCATCATAGCAATAGTAATTCTGCCTAAGCCAGAAGGCAAGGACCAACAGCTGAGGTTGTCCTGACTTCCACACACACATACAAGGCAGTCCGGAAACAAGTGTGAGCACCCCCCTCCACACACACACCGGAAACCAAAGTGGGTTCCAGTTCCATTTTGGTCCTCTGGGGACTTTGCAGTGCAGACCCTGTTGCTGTCTGGCCAGAACCTTGGAAGCTGTTGTGGCAATTGCTGGAAGGCCAGAGAGGTTCTGCAGGCCCTTGGTAGGCTGTGCAAGGTTTGAAACACGGGTTGGTGGAGATGGGGCTCACGGTGCAAGGCCCTGGGTCTATCCCTAGCCATAAAGGAAACAAACAAACAAGCTGGTTCTGGGGGTGCCTGCTGACCTAGTTTGAGCAGCCCAAATGGTGGGTCCCCTGCTGCTTTCTGAGGGCCTCCTCCCTCAGGGAGCTGCCATGTGGGTGGTTGAGCAGTCAGACAAGCTATTGGGTCCGAGGCCATTTTGACCATAGCTTGGCCAGGGCGTTCCTGAGCTTCTGCACACGGTGGGACTGAGGGACAGAGGGAGCGATGTAGGGTTCTATACTCCCCCAAGTCCTGGAGGGCTTTCTCCTGATCCTCCACTGCCTCAGACTCTGGTTAGAATGGCACCTCTACCATCTGTCACCCCTCCCCCACTCCCCGCTCTGAGGCCCGGCTGTGCCTGGGGGCTGTGACTGGGGGCTGGTGTGTCTGGTAAACAGGCGGCTGGCAGGTCCCCAGGGCCTGTGGGTGACAGGCCTGGTGCTGGCACCAACCCCAGGGCAGGCTGCCGAAGAGGAGGAGTGGGATGAGTTCTGGGGACCAGGGGAGATTTCCTGCGGCGTCTGAGGGAGTCGAGGCTGTGTCCTGTCCCTGGCGCTCCAGACCTGCGTGGCCGCTGCGGCTGTCCACCCTTTTCCCCAGCTCTCCAGCTCCAGCCTTCACATCCTCGCCTCCAGCCACCTTCAGAGAATTCAAGTCAATATCTAGTGTGAAAGGCTGCCAGGTTCTCTCTACCTGGGGCGAGGCTAGGCGGCCTGCCCTGTGCCCTGGGGAGCCACGCTCCACCACCAGAGAAACTGAGGCCAGAGGGCAGGTGGGAGGGGGAGTGCCGAGAGCTCTTAGGACTCCACCCCCAACCCTTCTGTCAGCTCCACGCCGTGAGGGGCGGGGTGCCTCCGCCTCGGTTGTCCCATCTGGGGAATGGAAGGTCAGGCCTGTTGGAAAGGGGTCCTGCCAGCCTTTCTCAGCCCCCTCACCGCCCCTGGCGGAGGGAGGGCAGGGGCAGGAATCTGTCCTGGTCGGTTCCCAGCTCCCCCTCCTCCACCACGGTGCTGCCAGTTCCCCCTCTCTTTCTCCTGCCTTCTGGCTGCCAGCCCCTCCCCACGCGGCCCCCAGACCCCAGCTGCGGTGTCTTTACAGCTCTGACCAGCCGCTCAGCCTCCCCGACTCCTCCTCCCTCTCTCCCTCCCTCCCTCCTCTCCGCTTCCCTCCGCTCTTCCTCCCGCTCCCTCCCTCCTCTTCTCCCTCCTCCCTCTCCTTCTCTCCATCCTCCCTCCATCCTCTCTCATCCTCCCCCCTCCAGCTCCTCTCATCCCTCCTCTCCCTCCCTCTCTTCATCCTCCCTCCAGCTCCCTCCAACCCTCCCTCCCTCTTTCTCTCTTTCTCTCTCTCCCTCCCTCTCTCTCTCTCTCCGGGGGAAGAAAGGTCACGGTGCAGCTGATTACTCAGAGCTCAGTTGCTGTAGCAACCGGCGGGGGAAGTGGGACAGGCTGGCTTTGAGGACGCGCGAGGTCGGCCGCGGGCGGCTGGAGCCGGCGCGGGCCCCGGTGCGCGGGAGGCCGCCTGCAGCCCGGCTCTGCGCGCTGCGGCCCGGCTCCGGGTTGCGGTTTTAATGAGGCGCCCGCGCCCCTCCCGGAGCTGCGAGGGGAGATCTCTGCTCCTGGTCTCGCTCCCCCTCCCCCCCAACCCCCGGTTCGGTGTAGGCATCCACCCCTCCGCCTGGGTTCTGCCGGCGCCTCCTTTCTCCACTCTGAGCTGCCCGAGCCGTTGCCTTCCCTGCTTGTGCCCACCCACCCTGCACCAGCTTTATCTCGGTGCTCAAGGAGACCCCAGTACCCCCTCCTTCCCCCTCAGCCTCTGTCGTCGCCGGGGAGACCCAGCTGGAGACAGGTGCGCCGGGGCTACCTCACTGCTCCCGAGGCTTCTTCCAGAACCGCCCTGAGCCTGAGCCTTCCTCAAAGCCCTGGGAGTCTTGGAGGAGGCCCTGCTGGGCTGCGGGGGGGGGGGGGGGGGGGGGGGCCCGGCGGGCCGCTCCCCCCCCCCCCCCCGGCGGGCGCCCCCCCCCCCCCGGGGGGGGGGGGGGGGGGGGGCCCCGGGGGGGGGGGGGGGGGGGGGGGGGGGCAGAGTCCTGCCGTCCTTGGCTCCCCTCCAGCCAGCAGCAGAGCAAGGCCACCTGAGACTGGGTTAGCAGGGGTCCAGCTTGGCAGGAAAGAAAGAGGGTCCTCGGGTGGGGTTGGCCTGGTTCCAATCCCCAGCCTGACCCCCAGTGCCTGGTGAAGTAACCTGGCCACTTTGGTTGATGCTAAACTAGGGCTGAGGAGTGGCAGAGCTTTGCCTAGCATTGGGGGGAGGGGGGGAGGTAGCCCTGGGTTCGAATCTCAGAATCATACGTAAAAATTTAGAACACACTTACCCAACCATGTCTCTCTTAGGTACGTGTGTCAGAGGTGAGAAAACCAATGTCCATACAAAGAAGGGGGCAGGGGTACTCACAGGGGTGCTGTTAATACAGTACATATCCTGGAAACACCCCCAGGGTGAGCCCATCAGCGCAGAGAGCCATGGGAGCACGAGACAGAGCAGTCTGTTTGCTCAGGGTTCTCTAACACTCTAGAAAATGCTGCCTGGGCTGTGAGGGCAGAAAGCAGTTTGGTGGCACCCTGGGGTGGCTGGGGGGCTGAGAAGGACCATGGGGGGGGGCTCAGGGAATCCCACGGGGGCTGGGCTGATTGCTTCCGGGGTGAACGAAGGAAAAACAGATTCCATCCTCCTGGGCTGTACAGTCACAGGTAGGGAAGAGAGGTCTAGCCTGTGCAAAGGACCAGTGGTTGGGGTGAGCATGAGATCTTTTAGAATCCACAGGAAGGGTCTCAGCATCTGGGACAGAATCCGTGAGGGAAACGTATTCAAGCTTTGTCCTGCGGCCCCTGGAGGACTGTAACAGCCTTGAGTATGGTTTGCAGGAGTGTGTGTGTGTGTGTGTGAGAGAGAGAGAGAGAGAGAGAGAGGCGTGTGCTTTCCTCACTGCTTCAGAGTCCTGATCTGGGCCTCAGAGTCCTGATCTGGTAAATGGGGCCATGCTTTCTCTTGAGGCCTGTTAAGCTCATTGATGGGGCCCTAGGCTGGTCCCCGTTTCTCAGTTATAATCCCCACATCTGCTCTGGGTTTTGAGACACTGGGTACCTTGTCCAACTGTCTGGAGTTCTGGGGTTTTATCCAACTGGGGTTCTGGGAGCACTCTCCCCAACTCCCACCCCCACCCCGAGCCTCTGAACCTGGCACAGGCCACCCCAGGAGGGAGAGAGAAAGCTGCTGCAGCTGCCAGGTGGGGTTCAGGAGGGCTTCAAGAGGTTGATGGTGATCTGGGCTTCCAACCTGCTTCAGTCCAGTTCACAGCAGGCAGGGGGCCACTTCTGTCTTTCCTGAGCTGGGGCTGGCCCGTCCTGCTGCTGTTGCCAACCTCAGCCTGGCCAGTTGGGTTCTCAGCCTCCGCTCACTTGGGCAGGTAACTGATGGTGAGGGGAGGAATCCATCAGTCGCCCCAGAACTCACTTTCCCTGCACAGGGCCCTCAAGGAGGGGGAGGGGCCTAGTCAGTCCCCACCTCAGGTCACAGACAAGGGATGAGACAAATATGGAGCATCCCCTGGGGCCGGGCCAGGCTGAGAGCTTCTCCTTGTTCTTTGCCTCTGGGCTCACACAGTATCCAGGTTTGTGGCCGTTAGAAGCAAGAGCCCAACAGAGACCCAACCATGGCTAGAGGGCCCTCAGCCATCCTGCCATAATGTCCTTCTGAGTGCCCTTCCAAGCAGGGCGCTGCCGTAGGAGGAGATCTGCTGCTGGGGGGGGGGGGGGGGGAGCCGGGGCAGCAGAGGGCCTGGGGTGGCAGGTATTGAACTGTGAGGAGACTGCTGAGCCAGCCTCACAGGGGCAGGTGGCAGGAGAGGCTCTAGGAGAGGTCTAGCCCCAGGCCCTGGTGCCCTGGAGACAGACAAACAGACACACAGCATTTGCAAGGGTCCAGGGCTGGGGCACAGCAGAGAAAAAGCAGGCGATTGAAAGGGGGTCATTTCAGAAGCGGGGAGATATGGGAGGCGAAAGTCGGTGAGGGCTGGGCTCTCCAGGCTGGTAGGCATGTTATTTTCAGTGCCCTACTGAGAGTAATGGACACCATGGAAGGTTTTAGGCAGGGGGAGTGGCACATTTAGAAGCACTTTCCAGAAAAATCTCTCTGGCTGTCATGAGGGAAAGTGACTGCAGGGGCAAAGGTGGAAGCCGAGACTTTCTCAGGGAGGCGCTACAGATGGGGGCTGCAGTGGGTTGGCGGCAGGCAGAGGGAACTGATAGAAAAGATTCCGACCGTGGATTGGGCCGGATGAGTGGGTGGGGAGGGGGAGAGAGCAGTGAGGCTGGGCCAGCTCCAGACTAGACTCGGGAGGAAAGGCGGTCGGAGATAGTGTCTTTGCACCCTGCTCTTCCAAGGAGCTGTTGCGTATCCTCCAGTAGTTCCTTGTCCCCAGGGCTGGCAGTCCTAGCCAGAAAGGAAGGGACTTTGGTTGGAGAGGTAGCTCCTGGGGGCGGCAGCAGCAGCTAGCAGAAGGTGGCAGCCTGGACTGTGGCCTTCCAGGGTGGGTACAGAGGCTCAGAGGAGGCATGGGCCGGCCCCATCTGTGGGTGACTTCTCTGCCTGGCACCTCCCTCCTTAGGTCTCATCCTCTTGGGAATCGTCAGAGGCAGGGGACAGACCCAAGAGCCAGAGAGCTGAGCAAAACTATCCAGCAGTCAGAGGTGGCGCCTGGACCCTGGAGCTGAAGGCACTGTGGCTGCTGCAGCAGCCTGCTCTCCTCTTACCCCAGGTCCCTGCTCTGCAGCCCCAAGCACCCATTCGCCCCGTCAGAGCAGGTCCTATTGGCTCTGTCCGCTCCACTCGGCTCCTGTGACAGCCCCCCCCATGACCTTGCCACTTCTCTAAGTACTTTCTGCTTCCCCCTCCCCCCATGGTGTGGCCAAGGAGACCCAGGGCGTGAGGTTTAGGGGCTGTAGAGTCTATGAGCCCTCTGTCAAAGTCACTGCCCTCATCATCCAACTCTACCTTTCCCCAAGCCTCGTAGTACTTGGAACTGCTGCTGCCCCAGGCCCTCTACCCCGGAGCCTGCTCCACTTGGTGGGTCAGGGGAGGCCAGCCAAGTCACACTCTGCCCTCTACCTTCCTCACACACACATCTGACATGCAGGAGTATCTGCGGGCAGCGCTGCATGCGTGCCTGTTCATGTGTATGTACTTAAACACATGTACCTGTGTGCTGTCACATGCCATGCGTGCAGCACATGGCTGTGTGGCTACGGGTACAGGAACCCACGTGTGCCATGCAAGAGCACGTGAGTGTCTGTGCCTGCTTGCATGTGGGCATCTGAGTGCTACAGATGTGTTGGTGAGCACGTGTCTTGTCTGTGTGCAGGTGTGTGGTTCTGTGGGCCTCTGTGAGATGGCCACAGGCCATATGATTGTTCAGCCATGCACTCTTCCCTGTGAGTGGGAATACGGAAGCAGGGGAGAGCCCTAGAATGGGGACTGGCTTCCCTGTAGTGGGCTCCTGGAAACACAGGTGCCAGCATGGCCTTCCCTGTGCTGTGGCAGACATCCCCCCCCAACACACACCCCTTCCTCTCTGCTCTTGTGGGCCAGCAGACTCCACAAGAGGCCTCCGAGGCTTTGTTTGTGAAGTTTCCAGCTCTCCCGTGTATTTGTGAGGTATCATGATCTCCGTATGTTTTCCAGAAGCCGATACCTGGACCTGGACTCTCTGGCCATAAAGAGGGGGTTTGCTGAGCTGCAGTGCATTCTGGGGAAGCACAAGACATGGCTGCCACTGTCACACCAAAGGGGGTAAGGCAGAGGAGACGCTTTCCGAGCATAGAGCTAGCCAGATGTGTCCCCCTCAGGAGTCTGTGCATGAAGCAAACCTAGAGACGATTCTGGGATTGGCAAGAATGCCATGCCGCCTGAAAATGACAGAAGCTGCTGGTGCCGCCGTGCCAGCAAGAAGCACACCTGTGCCGGTTTCCATGGTAAGGTGGCAGTGTGGGGGTATGGAATGGTCAAGAGGCTCTAGGGACACTGCTCCGGCAGGTCCCCAAGGTTAAGTGCTAGAATGCCACTAGCTGAGAAGCAGGGTCTTCCAGACAGAGCAGAGCTGTAAGTACCCTGCCCTTGGAACAGGTCAGTGCTGGGCCAGCATGACAGCTCAGCCAGCTAAGGCAATTACTGCCAAGACAGAACCAACTCCTGAAGGCTGGCTTCTGGCCTCCATACACAGGCCATGATACACACCACACACACACCACACACATACACACACACACCACACACACACACACACACACACACACACAC